GTGTGTGTGTGTGTGTGTGTTTGTGCGTGCGTGTGTTTGTGCGGGTGTGTGTGTTTGTGTGTGTGTGTGTGTGAGTGTTTGTGCGTGTGTGTGTGTGTGTTTCAGTTTTCAGTAGAGGAAAGATCAAGGAAGATTTTTTTACTGTTCGTGAGCATGTGTTTTGGATTGTGTGTTTTAGCTCAGCGGTTCTCAACTGGTGGGTCGTGACTCCACCAGTTGAGAACTATATTATTTACTGTAAGGGCATAATACAGTTTAATGTAGCTAGCACAGACTTGGATAAGTAGTGTCTAATATCCTGCTAAATAAGATAAATAAACTTTAAAAGTTTGTTAATAAGGTATTTGCATAAAGATTAATATGTGTTTCCATTATTTTGTTGGCACAGAAGAGCATAGCTTGCATAAAAACCACATAATATCAAGACCAAAGTATACTTCAGTTTTATGCATACTGCGTACATACAGTGCATACCTTAGTACACGCTTACTGCCAGATTTCCTAATTGTAACTGTGTCTCATTCGAAGGTTGTGGCCTCCAGGGTCACAATTTTGTTGGCCACATAAGGCTGTCTCATTTAAGAAAAGTAAACATTATATTGCAAAGTAAGAAAAAATCACACTAAATTACTAAGTCATTTTAGACACTGGACAAAGATGAAATTTGCTAGTAAGCATATGTCGAGCTCCTGTATTTTTACATGTTATCAAAAATATATACTTTGAAAGGCTACACTTTCAGCTATATGCATACGGTAAATATTTGCATCACAACTGAGGTCAACTTTGGGCTTTAAAGGGATAGTTCACCCAAAAATGAAAATTCTGTCATTAATTACTCACCCTCATGTCATTTCAAAACCGTAAGACCTTCGTTCATCTTCGGAACACAAATTAAGATATTTTTGATGGAATCTGAGAGCTGTCTGACCCTCCATAGACAGCAATACAACTGAAATGTTCCCAAGTCCAGAAACGTAGCAAGGAGATCTGTAAAAGAATCTATGTGACATCAGGGGTTCAACTGTAATTTTACGAAGCTACGAGAATACTTTTTGTGCGTAAAAGAAAAAAAATAACAACTTTATTCAACAATTCGTCTCCTCCGTCACACCGGATCTTTCCTACGTTGTTTGCGCTTTGATTTGAATGAAAACAACATATCCGCGTGACGCAGCTGAAACAGAACAGCTTACGTTGTTTACGTCCAGCTGATATTCTCCAAAATGGCACCAGGGTGATGCGGAGGAGACGAAT